CCCCAACAAACCAGTTACATCAGATTTAGGGTACAAATAAAAAACGCGCGCAAATAATGATGAGGAAAAACAAAACAAAAAACACAACTAAAGAAAAAACAATAAAATAGCAACAACGTAGATTATCATGTCTGATTAAAGACAATTACTTTGTCCGGCCACACAAAAAAAAAAAACATCAACAACAACAACGAATTCATTATATCATGTTTAAACTCTATATCAGAGAAGGTGATCGCAGCAACCACAAAAACTAAACAAAAAATCACCCCAAACCAAAACTTCATCTTAAAACTTGCTACAAACAGTTGAAATGATAAACTTTTTTAAATATTCTTGTTATTGTTTTGTCTTTCTTTAACAATAAAAAAATAAATATAAACAATTAATACCGCCTTTGGCTAAATTTATATAATAAAGGGTTTGCGAAACTCTGCAGAAATCCGTAGTGAGTGGTAAACGAATGAAATACCAGTCCCACAATTTTAATTTTACACTAAGCTTGAAAGTATGCTATATTTTTTATACCCTACACCACTTTAGTGGGGAGGGTATATTGGGTTTGTGCTGATGTTTGTTACATACAAAAATATTCGTCCTATACCCACCTTAAAGTATACCAATCGGCTTAGAATCGTTTTCTGAGTCGATTAAGCTATGTCCGTCCGTCCGTCTGGCTGGCTGGATGTCCATGTAAACCTTGTGCGCAAGGTACGGGTCGCAATTTTCAAGATAATTGGATGAAATTTGGCATGCACGCTTTTTTTGGCCCAAGGACGAAAATGAAAATGGTTAAAATCGGTCCATTATTTCACCTAGCCCCCATAGAACAAAACCCCCCGAAAAGGGCTTCTGAGCTCATAATTATGTTAAATATACAGGTATATCGATAAAAAGAAAGGCACAACTAAGTTTTATAGAAGTCCTGATGACCCTGCCAAATTTCATAAAGATCGGGCCCCATTTGACTCTAGCTCCCATACAAAGTCCCCTTCAGAAAACTACTTGAATGTCCAAAATTAACTTATAAACACAAATATCACGATGAAATTCAGCAAAATAAAATATTATGTAAATATAAATATATTCACAAAATTTTATCGGGCTTAGTCCATATTTACCCCTAGCCCCCATATAAAGCCTCTTTCAGAAAACTAATTTTTTTAATTAATTAATGCTTTATTATGAAAAATAAATCACATTTAATATTCATAACTGGTGTAGGGTATCATATGGTCGGCCACGCCCGACTATACTTTCTTACTTGTTTACATTTCATTTCAATGGTTAGTAGTTTTTCGGTACGATTATGTTTTGCTAGTTAGACAATTTTAGAGCAGAGTAATTTCACTATGGGTTACCACGATTAATAGCCTCCTAAAGGAGAAAGGACTTAGACTTGTCTGATATGCAGACGATGTCGTAATACTTTTAAAGGGAAAGGATCCTAATTACTTGTATGGAACAGCTGAGGAGGCTCTGAATACGGCCATGATCTGGGCTCAAACGAGAGGTCTCAATATTAAACCGGAGAAGACGGAAATCTGTCTTCTCACCAGAAAAACAAACATTTCTACATATACTGAACCTTGCTTCCTGAAGCAAGAAGATACCGGTGACAGACAAAGATAAATACTTAGTCGTAATCCTTGACCGGAAATTAAAATGGAGACACCACATAGAGGATAGGATCAACAAGGCACATCCCTACTGGGCGATATGTTAGAGAACTATAGGCATGAAATGGGGTCTTAGTCCTACTATGACAAATTGGCTTTATAAAAGTGTAATTAGATCAATTCTAGCTAGCTTATACTTCAATAATCTGGTGGACTGCTTTGGACAAAAAGTGTAAAATCAAACTACTACCGGGAGTTCAGCGTACATGCTGCTTGGGTATAAGTGCTGCCATGTGTACTACTTCAACCAAGGCTCGGGAAACGTTGCTAGATATTCCACCCATTGAAACATATTTAAGATATGAGGCGGCGATTACAGCCTAACGTCTCTTTACTTTAGGCGAACTGGTCAAAAGCGGTTATAGGACATGTCATCAATGTACATTGGACACATTGGAAGGTTATACATAATCATCGGTCGTGCCTGCTCACATACCAGACACAATATGTCGGAAACTTTGAAACGTTGGTCCCAAATAGAATGTCTTGGTCAAGCGGAACATTAGAGTAGGAAATACCAGTAGGAATACGTTGTTACACGGATGGCTCTAAATTGGTGGACAAAGTGGGCCTAGGGTTATTTATTGAAGACCCAGAAACAGAAATATACCACCGTTTACCTAATCATATCACAAGCTTCCAGGCAGAAGTCCGAGCAATAACGAAATGTGTAAATTGGATTAGTACAAATATGGCGCTCACAGCCCTTAATATATTTACCGACAGCCAGAAGGCAATAAGGGCGATATCAGGTGATAGAATTAAATCTAAGACCGTATTGGATTGTAAGAAAGCTTTAACAGAATACTCTCTCAGAGGTAAGATTTACATCATATGGGTATCAGTCCACTCGGAAGCAGTCGGCAACGAAAGGGCGAATTTAATAGCTTTAAAGGAAAGGGAGCACGAGGCAGTTAACCTGACAAATGCAAAACCATTTGGCGCAACAAAAGCTGAATTAAAAATATGGGTGAGAGAATCCTATAAGGCCTCTTGGAATAATGAAACGGTGGGTAGAACCACAAAGATGACCCTGATGAGAGCAAGACGAGAAATCTCCTCAAATTGAGCAAGTCTGAAGTTAATATGATGGTACACGTATTCCGAGTGGACACACAGGATTGCGTCATAACTATACAAAATTGGCCGTGCGGATTCAGACGAATGTACAGTATGGGGAGAGGACAGTGAAATTCTGGAGCACTTTCTTTGCCACAGTCAAGCATTCGTCGAAGTTAGATCCAAGTATCTTGGAAGTGATGTTATTCCTGAAATAACATTCCTGACTGATTGGAAAATTCTTAGGAATTACGTCCAGGAAACTGAGTTTCTGAACATTGAAAATTAATATCTCTGTGGACATTTTTTTTCATGAATTTTTCGGGCATTACAGGCCAGATAGTAGTTTCTTCGGATTTGAAGACCTAACCTAACCTTCTCATTCCATATAAGAGAAAAGACCTATGAATGTTTGAAGTTCTTTTTGATTTTTTAAAACAGAGGAGTTTATTTAATGGCAGTAATTTTCAGTTGGGCGGATTCCTAAGGGAACTTTACATGCAATACTTGGAATATTTGGCATGTTGATAACAAAATTTGCTTTTTATACTCTTCAACTTCGTGAGAAGGATATGAATGTCGAAGTGCTTTAGGTGAACATCTGCCGTGTTGATATTATTTCTCGGTGGTCTTTTTCATATACTGCATGAGCCCCTATGTGTATCTTAAATGCGGGTGGCAATTTTTGTACATGATTTTGCCGGTCCATGTACAAGTACTTTGCTCAAGTATTCTCTGACTACTGCTGATCCGTTGCTTTACTTCTGATATGTCCTTTTAGTACAACTACGCAGATGGGATGACCTCTGTTGAGTCGACAACAGCACCTAGAGACGTATTCGGTAGACGGAAACACGAATCCATCAAATAAACCGAGGAATTTGTTCTTACTCACAGAGAATACAGTGTGGTAAATCTGATATGAACAGAGTTTTCCTGGACAGGATAATAAAATTCAATGGTATTACTTGTATAAGATACCTTTTTATCCATCATCATCCAACCCAGCACAATTCTCATTTATCCGACACACTCAAAAGAGAATCACATTCGACAGACTCACTCTAGGTATACGGACGAATGAGATCCTTATACCCCAACATTTATCCTGTATCATATACACTTAACACCAACTCATTTCCAATGCTTAGTCGCACAGTCACTCCTATGTGGGGTATCTGTTGTCATTCGGCAACAGCACCGAACTTATTCCGAAATATAGATCTCACTATGCATCATTCTTTTAACCGCAACTTATTCTTACCGCGAATTTGGGTTTAAACCACAGCCACTACGTGGATCCCGGAGGAACATCAACCAACTGACCAGTCAGGACAAGTCCTGCGGTAACTGGCAAGCCGTAGTACCAGATTGGTTCTGTTCGACCCCATGTCAAATCATTTCAAAGAAAGTCCGAGGATACATTTGATCATAGCCAGTTTATAGTCCCGGCAAACTAGAGGTACTAGTAGCACCTCTATCTATATCCCGGGATTGCAATACACCAAGATTGGGTCTTTCACCAAGGAAACAGTGTGTATGTGTATGTTGAAATCCTTTTTTCAGACATACGTTCGGGAAGAACGCTATTTAAAATCATCATTAAGTATGTAATGCATTTTATGTCACTATTTTAATACATGGATGACATGTATGACAGCAATCTCCTGCTTTTCAAACAGCCCACAGTGCATTTATTTAAATATCATGTTTGTAATTTTAAAATTGTGTTGCCAACTTTTAGGCTTATGCTAAAATATCTAAATAAATATTAAAGAATAATAAATATGTATTGAAGATGAATCTAATACTACTAACGAATTTAAAGTTAAGCTTTTATTAGAAAAATATTCGCTCACTTGATTTTTTACAAATAAAATACTCTGAAGCTATAGTTATTTATGGCCAATTGGAATAATTTAAAACTTTCCAATATGAAAACCCTAAAAACTATTTAGAAAAACCCAAAAGATAGAATTAAATAAAAAAGTCTAAGCCGCAGTAAGTAGCATGAAGATGTTATCGACAAAACACACACCAAAACGACAATCGATGTTAACAGACGTTAACAATTTAATTTGAAATTAACTGCAGGTAATCTGGCAAAAACAAAAACAACAAATAAATAAAAAACAACATCAGAAAAACGCGTAAATCAACAGATTTTTTTGAAGTTTTTTATTTTGCTGTTTTAGTTTTTTTCTCCCCAATAACATCAGTTCTAAGATGAATTGTTCTTTAGAACTTGTATTAGTTGTTTTGTAGCATTTGAAGTGTTAAGATTTTAATTAAAAAAATCATAAAAATATAAAAATAAATATTTAATAATTTAATAAAAAAAATATTCATAGAAAATATTAATTTAAATTTTAAGTGTTTTATCGTGATTTGTGCATTTAAAACACGCTATCATTCTCTTAATTAAAATTTATAACGAATTTATTGGCAATGCAAACAAAAATTATTTATAATTTATTACGACTGTGTATTTTGATTGTGATTTTGTGTCATTATAGCCAAGGTTTGTACGAATTTAATAAACAGCTAAAATAAAATGCAAAGTACATTCTAATATGTAACTTGTTTAGAAAAGGATAAACCGGCATTTGTTTTTGATTTACAGTGTAGTCGATATTGTCAAACTTAAGTCACATGATATGTGCAAAATATCGTTTCTTTTGTATATATTAATACATATATTAAGAAATCGATAATTAAGAAAGTAATAATGTTAACAATTTGAATATATACATAGAGACCCCTTTAGAAAATGACTAACATTCTATTACGAAACGTGATTTTTGGCGTGGTTTCCGACTAGGGAACATGTTATTGTTCTCAGTTGGTACCAACCCTGCTCAACAGACACAAATCCGAACACTTAATAAAGGGAAATCTATACAAATACTAACACTAGACAAACTACTCGCAGAATTCTGAAACAGTTGAAAGTCCCTTCCAGTGCCAGTATTTAAATTGGAGTCATAAATACTTACCTAAAGCATGGTTATATAAAGAACATAACTGACTTTCAAAATTCTTATTAAATTTATGGGAAGTGTTTTTTAAACGGTGGATATGTTAGAATCGGTATTGTAAAGTTCTAAAACAATAAGTAATAATCCAGCGAAGTATATCGATTATTGAATATTTTCATATTTCTTCGATAATCGATATTAGAAAGTAAGTTAGTTTATATAAAAGGTTAGTGATTTAGCAACATTTCTGGGGAGTCATTAGGTTAGGTTGGTTTGACAGGAGGATGTATAATACATCAAATCCTAAGAACTGCACCTAGACCACTATCGGGCCTATTGTGTGCTCCTTTTCATGAAAAAAAATTGTTCACTGAATGCAATATTTTTCAATGTTCAGAAACTCAGTTTCCTAAACGTAATTCCTAAGAATCTTCCAGTCACTGTTAGTCAGGAATGTTATTTCCGGAATAACATCACTTCCAAGATACCTGGATCCAACTTCGACGAATGCATAACAGTGGCAAAGAAAGTGCTCCAGAGTGCGGATTGTCTGAATCCGCACGTCCAATTTTGTATAGATGTCCTGTATGTCTACTCAGAATACCATCATACTAACTTCAGACTTGCAAATTTTGAGGAGATTTCTCGTCTTGCTCTCATCGAGGTCACCACATAGCTTCTTTGTGGTTCTACCCACCGTTTCATTATTCTAAGAGGCCATATGGGATTCTCTCACCCATTTTTTAATTCAGCTTTTGTTACGCCGAATGGGTTTGCATTTGTCAGGTTAACTGCCTCGAGCTCCCTTTCTTTTAAAGCTATTACATTCGCTCACGAGTGGCCTGGTTAGGTTAGGTTGATAGGAGGATGTATACTACATCAAATCCGAAGAAATACACCTAGGCCACTATCGGGTCTGTTGTGCGCTCCTTATCATGAAAAAAGGGAACTGAATGAATTATTTTTCAATGTTCAGAAACAACTCAGTTTCCTGGACGTAATTTCTAAGAATCTTCCAATCAGTGTTAGTCAGGAATGTTATTTCCAGAATAACATCACTTCCAAGATACCTGGATCTAACTTCGACGAATGCCTGGAAGTGACAAAAAAAAGTGCTCCAGAGTTTCACTGTCCTCTCCACATGCTCTACATTTATCTGAATCCGCACGTCCAATTTTGCATAGATGTGCTCGTAATCCTGTGTGTTCACTCTTAATACGTACCATCATAATAACACTTCAGACTTGCTAATTTTGAGGAGATTTCTCGTCGTGGTTCTACCCACCGTTTCATCCCATATTTTTACTTCAGCTTTTTTTGCGTCGAATGGTTTTGCGTTTGTCAAGTTAACTGCCTCGAGCTCCCTTTCCTTTAAAGCTATTACGTTCGCTCTTTTGTTGCCGACTACTCCCGAGTAGTCTGGTATGATGTAAATCTTACCTCTTGGAGAGTATTAAGTTAAAGCTTTCTTCTTGCCTTCTGGCTATCGGTAAATATATTAAAGGCTGTGGGCGCCATATTTATTCTAATCCAATTTACGCATTTCGTTATTACTCAGACTTCAGCTTGGAAGCTTGTGTTATGATTAGTTATACGTTGATATATTTCTGGTACAATATAGAACTCCAGTTCCACTTTGTCCCCCAATTTAGAGCCATTCGTGTAACAACGGATTCCTGCTGGTATTTGCTCTAATGTTCCGCTTGACCAAGACATTCTATCCGGGATTAGCGTTTCAAAGTTTCCGACATATTTTGTGTCTGCTATGCGATCAGGCATGTCCGATGATTGTGTATAACCTTACAATGTGTCCAGTATGCATTGATGACGCGTCCTATAACCGCTTTTGGCCACTTCGCCTAAAGTAAAGAGCCGTTCGGCTGTAAGCGCCTCCTCATATCTTAAATACGTTTCAATGAGTGGAATATCTAGCAACGTTTCCAGAGCCTTAGTTGAAGTAGTACACATGGCACTACTTATACCCAAGCAGCATGTACGCTGAACTCCCTGTAGTAGTTTGATATTACACTTTTTGTCCAAAGCAGTCCACCAGATTATTGAAGCATAATCTAGAATTGGTTTAATTACAGTTTTATAAAGCCAATTTGCCTTATTGATCATATCCTCTATGTGGTGTCTCCATTTTAATTTTCGGTCAAGGATTACACCTAAGTACTTAACTTTGTCTGTCTCTTAAAGAATTCATATAAAACGCAATTAGTGTCAAGGTCCTATTTTTCGGAAGTCAGGGACAGGAAATTTTTGGATATTCTATTGTCACTTGAGTTTCGTTTCAAAACATTCGTCAACTGTAATCGACATCGTAGCCAGGAAAATATAAATATTCTTTTAAATAACAATTTCGTTCAAAGACGAACCCACATTCAATGTACAATGTGTGAAGTGAGTTGAGACAAAGACGGCCAAACGGCCTATTTCAAGGTGGCACCTTTATAACTACAGGAAGAGCCTTGCAAAGAACTCTCAAGTAGCAAAAAAATCACTTCCGCTTATAAGGATTCGGTAACATCACCCAGAGTCGTAATGGTTAAACCGAAATACGAGTTCATCAAATAAGCCAAAGACAAGTTCTTACTAACAGAGAACACATTGTGAAAAGTCAGGTATAGACAGAGTAAACACTGACATACCCTGCCAAGGAAGGGAAATTCAATGGCGTCACTTGTACAAAATACCGTATATCCATCACCATTCAACCCAGTACACTTCACATTCATCCCACACATTCATTCCATCCCGTATCTTTTTCGTTTAACACCAACCTATTTCCGATGCTTAGTCATATAGTCGCTTCTCTGAGAAGTATCTGTTGTCTACTCTGTAACAGCACCAAACTTGCCTTGAAATATAGATTTTTCCATGTATCAGTCTTTTAATCAACTTTCCATTCTCGCGATTTTGGGCCACCGAAAAAACATTTCTATTAAACGAGACAAAGTCCGAAACTCTATCGGTTCCCGTGTTACCAGATAAGTTAGGTTCTCCAGTTTATATATAGGACTATAGGTACTTGAAGCACCTCTTTTCCAACGGGTTGGATTGGTTGGGTTCATTAAGGTAACGTATCCTGTGGGGGTATATATGGGCCAAGCATCTATAGTCGTAATTGTTTTTAAAAGGTCAGTTAAGATAAGATAATTTTGTCCCGAAGGACAGTATTTTTAGCCAAGTCCTGTTTCTTTTTCTTTGGAGTTACATATACATACCAACTGGCATTAGAAGAGCTTCAGATCAACATAGGAAATAAATGTCCGATGCTTAGAAACACAATTTGCCGGACGTTGTTCCTTAAAATTTTCTAATCAATGCTCTACTTTCGTCTGAATTCGACTCCAATTTTGTATAGTGTTCAACATAATAACCTCTGAATAGCTCATTTCGAGAAAGATCTTCTTACCCAGTTGTGTCGAACGGTTTTACATTGGATAGATTAACTTCCATTAGTTCCCTGCCCTTTACTACAACTATATTCGTTCTTTCGTTGTCGATTATTTCCGAGTTCCCTGGTATCGACTAAATGCAAATGTTTCCTTTGAAAGAGTATTCGGTTAAAGCAATCTTCGATTTAAGTTCTGAATTTACACATTCCGTTATTTCACGGGGCTCTGCCTGGAAGGTAGTGCGACGATTAGATAATAGTATACATCAGATCTAGTTTTTCAGTTAGCTTTTAATGAAGTAATAAAATACAGTGGAAGGTACAGAATTTAGCAAAAGATATTCGACCAGGAATGAATCCTATATATTCTATTAAAACTGGATCATTATTTCCATATTAACCGAAAATAAACTTTAACGTTTATAAATGTTATATAAATGATTCATTCCAAAGTATTACTTAAACGATAACTTTGGTTCAACCCCAGTCTAGCATTTCGGAAATTACATTTCTGTAGTTACATATTCCTTAGAGCGTCATTGAAGTAAATGTTTTCTTGTAATCAAAATTTCTCTTTTTAGGTCAACAAAAAGAAGTCTCACCAAAATTAGACTTTGATGAAGCCGATAACAAAAACGATACAGTTCCCATTGTACCGGGTGTTAAGAAAGGTAGAAAAGATGAAGATCACGACCTTGAAAGAGAAAATGAAAGTGATGGTGAAAAAAGAGGCAAATCGGGACCAAAAATACATGGAGTCCGTGTTACCGTGGATACAGGAGATACACATAAATCGAAAGGTAATAACTATGAACATAATGCATAACAACTTTTGCTGATTGTGTTGTTTATAGAATCCAAAGAAAGTGTAGAAATTACAGATTTGGGCAAGAATAAGAAAAGAGTTGGTATACACACCGATATAACATTCGAAATTACAGCCGAAGGAGATGAACATACAAATAAAACTAGCCGAGAACAGGATGTGGATAAAGGTAAGAAGAAATTGTGTTATAAAAGATATTGGAATCATAAAAATTTTTCAAAAATTTGTAATTTTCTGTAACAGAAGATGCTAGCGTTCCCATTTACAAAGGCCGCGGAGGTTCTAATCATAAAACTCGCAAACCTTACGATCCCAAAACACATTGGAATCCAAATTTCTCCACCGAAAGAAGATATGATCACTCTGGTAGAGGAAATTATCCAGATTACTATCCCGAATATTATCCCAACAATGTGCCAGTGTATATTGGCTCAGCAGATGCTAGAGGAGCTGGTAGTCCTATATATCGCCAATCGGATGGTTGGAATAGTTATATACCACGTTGGACTACAGAACGTTCTATGTATGTAGATGCTTACAATAAACCCAACGATGTATCGGCCTATAGGAATAATGCTTGGAAGCCCTGTTACTGCTTGACAAATAGTAATGAGTATAGAAGACGACGAGACAATCATCCCCACTATCATTATCCAACACAGAGTGCGGTAAATGTTGTTAAACCCACCAGTTCATTGATTAAAATTGTTGATGGCAAATTGGAATCAACATTCTCGAGAAAATAGTGAAACTATTTCAACACACTCAGTGTCTGTAAATAATCCAAGTTTAGTTTAGAATATGATTAAATAAGATTATTATAAATACATTCATATATACGTTTTAAATATTACGGCTAGTGATCGTAATTTCCCAGAACTCTTATCAGTTTTGTCTATTTTACAGTTTACGCAATAATTACAAAATTGTTTTGAATTAATATTTAATTTTTTTGTAAATAAAGGCATTCGAAACTTGTATTTACTTGTTTTTAATTATTTTGTAATTTTATTTATTTTTAAATTAATAAACTTTAATCTTATAAATTACATGAAACTCGTACGAAAAAAGGGAAGAAACGAATTAAATATCTAAGAACTAGATTTATGTGTGGAGACTGTAGCTGCTTACTTTGCCGTTGTCATCCAAAGTAGTGGTGGCGGCTTTGTAGCCAACACGACGACCATTAATGTCATAGTTTTCACTTTCACCAGTGGACAATTCCTTAAAGTTTTTCACTTGACCATCGGAACCGAACTGAAAGAGGAATGATGTTATGGTTTAGCATTTATGAATGAATGGAAAATTTTTCAGAAACCAAAGTTATTCTGAACAATACTCCTAAAAGTATTGGACCATTTTATGGTATTTAAGGACGTTCAAAAGATTTGAAATTAAATGTTCGATCGATTTCGAACTCAGTATAATTTGAACAGAAACTCACCTCAGATTGGCTGGACCATTTGGAGGCCTTTTCCCATGATTTGGTCTTGTAACCAGCATTGCCGGCACCAACGCCAGCAAGACTGCCGAAACCTCCAAAGCTAGCACCACTATCCATATTAGCATTGAATTGACTACCACCAGCACGAGTACCACCAACAGACATACCTTGAGCTTGCATTTTAGCTAAACGTTCAGATTCTTGCATATAATTGGATAAACCAGAGGAGGCAGCCAATGTAGAACCAGAACCAAAGGCAGATTGAGCACCGAACTGTGAACCGAATTTAGATTCAGCACCGAAAGAAGAACCGAACTTAGATTGAGCACCGAATTGAGTACCGAAAGTAGAGGCATCAGTGAAGGCGCTGCTAGCACCAGAACCGAAACCAGCTTGGTGACCAGCACCGAATTTGGAAGCAGCTTGGTGAGAAGCACCGAAGTTGGAAGCAGCTTGGTGAGAAGCACCGAAGTTGGTAGCAGCTTGGTGAGAGGCACCGAAGTTGGTAGCAGCTTGGTGGGAGGTACCGAAACCAGAGTTGAACAAAGAGTTGGTGTTAGCAGCAGTACCTAAGTTAAGACAAAATATATTATTAACTGATTTTCAAACATGGTAAAAATAAAACAACTAACCGTAAGTAGTGGCAGGAGCAGTGTAGGCAGAGTTGCCATAGTAACCAGTCTTGTAATTAGAGTTAGCACCAGAGGTAAGACTACCAGTGACCAAAGGACCCAATTGAGAGCCAGTGGTGGCACCAGTAGAGCTGTGATGAACATAAGAAGAGCTAGTGGCAGGGGCAGTGTGTACAATCACTTGAGGTTGAGAGGCAGTGGTAGTAACTTTACGATATTTCATATATGACTCTTGTCCGCCAGCTGGCGAGGTGACAACCATTTGAACGGGAGCTTGTTGAACATGTTCTTCCTTGATGTGAACATACTTCTCAGAACCACCTGAGGGGGCGGTGTATTGGATAACGGGCACGGCTTGGTTTTGTACGCGACGTTCTTCATGATGGATGTACTTTTCGGAGCCACCAGAGGGGGCAGTGTACTGGATGATGGGAACAGCTTGGTTTTGTACACGACGTTCTTCGTGGTGAATGTACTTTTCGGAACCACCAGAAGGAGCGGTGTAGTGAACAATAGGTACGGCTTGGTTTTCAACACGACGTTCTTCATGATGAACATATTTCTCAGAACCACCCGAAGAGGGAGCAAACTGAATGATGGGAGCAGAAGTTTGAGTTTGGGTACGACGTTCTTCGTGGCGGACATAGTTTTCAGAACCGCCAGTAGAGGGGACTGTGTATACAACGGGAGTAGCGGCATTGGAAACACGACGTTCCTCATGATGATAGTATTTTTCAGAACCACCAGATGGAGCAGTATAGACGAGAGGAGTGGCAACTTGATTTTCGCTACGATGTTCTTCATGACGTACGAAACTTTCATGACCACCAACACCACCGCTAACAACAACTTCGGGAGCAGCATGATGGACATTTTCAGCAGCAGAGCTTTCCAAGTAGGAGGAAGTTGAACCAGCACCACCTACAACGGGAATAACTACAGAGGAACCTCCTTGAGCAACAGAGTTGTGAACACCGGCACCATGAACACCATGACTAGCACCAAAGTTGGCATTGCTGTCAAAGGATGAAGAGGCAGCAAAGTTGGCAGAGTGGCTGGCACCAAATTGAGAGCCAGATGAAGCACCGAATTGAGAACCAGAAGAAGCACCATAACCAGCATTGCTACCGGAAGTGGAAGCATAATCAGCACCAGATAAACCAGATGAAGAGAAACCCACAGTGCCAACACCTACACCACCTACACCGCCATAAGAACCAACTTCTTCATATTCAGCATGTTGACCTTCCAAAACATCAGCAATTTTCTTCTTAGCCTCTTCTAGAGTTTGATGATGTTGACTGAAATGTCTGCAATTTCGAATTTAAGAGAATGTTTACATATTTAAGAGAGTAATTAAACATTTTCAATTGTTTGCAAAATAAGAAAAATTCATGCAATTTAGCATTAATTAATTTGTTTAATTATCTGATCAGACTCTTATCACATCTTTGAGGTTCGAGTCTTTGCTTATCGTAACATTGCCAATGATTAAAGCAAACTTTCAGTGATCTTTAACTTAAAAATTTTACAAACAATTAAAAATGTTTTTAATTTATTTAAATAAATATTTTATTGTAAATTTGAAATAAAATTTAAATGATGTTGTACCAAGCCAATTAGGAATTATTAAGTTAATTATTGTTTTTCTTTTTTTCTTAAATTACTCATTCCATTTATTGTTCAGGTACTTACAATGTATGAAAATCAACTCCACTAGAAAATGTTAAAAATTATGAAAGAATGAAATAAACAAACAAATAATGTTAAATTATTAAAATAAATTTATAAAAAACCAAAACAAAATGTATAAAATAAAGAACGGAAATCGAAGATAATAATTACCTTTCATGTAATTCTTCTGCAAAAGAAAAAGAAAAAAAAATATTAATAAATTGAATAATAATAATTTAAACTTTAGAAAAAAACAGGATGTACTTTAATAATAAATTATATGATTTAATAAATTATATGATTTAAATTTTAACAAGCACTTATCAAATTTTCAAATTAAAGACCTTGACTTTATTTCAAATTTGTATTTCGACAGTCAAAAGGTTATCGGACTTTTGGAATACATTTGGGATTAAAACTAAGTTATGGAAACAGTTCTGAAATGACATAATTATAAGCTTGATAAAATAATACTTAACAGAAATATGTATATTTTTATAGAATAATTATTAATAATTGTTTTATAAAACTTATTAATTATGGAAATGTGGCTTGAGTCTGTTAGCCCCTACATACTGCAACAATACTGCTCGTTTTCCGTAACGTTAAGTCATTATTGGCGGTTATAGGACAAGTCGTCAATGTATACTGGATACATTGATCGCATACCAGATACAGGTTATGTCGAGAACTTTAAAACACTGATCCCAGATAGAATAGATGCCAAAGTCAAAGGGAATATTAGAGCTAATGCCCGTAAGAATCCTTTGCTACAAAGGTGGCTATAAACTGGAAGACAAAACCCGGCCAGGGGTTCTATGTTAAAGACCCAGCTATAGAAATATACTAACGTCTACTTAATCACAACACTCGCCTTCTGACAGAAGCCCGAGCAATAACGAAATGAGTACACCGGATTTGTATATATATGTCGCCAACAGGTGTTAACATTTACCGACAGTCAGAAGGCAATTAGGGCCAAATCAGGTAATAAAGTTATACATATGATCATATTGGATTGTATGAAAGCTTTATCCGAATACTATCACAGAGGTAAGCTTTGCATTATATGGGTACGGGCCACTTGGGAGTAGTCGAAAACGATAAAGCGAATTTATTTGCATTAAAAAGAAGGGAGCTCGAGTTAACTTCACGAACGCAAAGCTATTCGACGCATCGAGGGACGAATTAAAAATATGGTCTTGAGAATTCAATAAGGCGCCTTGGAATAATGAAACCAAGACACTTAGAGATGACGAAGGCGAGAAGCCTTCTCAAAATGAGCAAGTCTGGTGGTCAGCATAATGATACTTAGAGCATGTGGCGAAGACTGTGAAACTTTGGAGAACTTTCATTGTCATGGTTAGGCATTCGTCAAAATTAGATCCAAATATCTTTGGAGTAATATTATTCCCGATATAACATCCCACTCGAACAATAATTGGAAAATTCTTAGGAATTACTACGTTCAGGAAGCTGATATCGGACGTTAACAACTTCAGTGATTATTATATAATGTTTTTGTTTTTACCAACAAATAATTTCCCTAAAAAGGAGCTTACAATAGGCCCGATAGTAGCTTAGATGTATTACTTCAGATTTGATGTAGGTCGATGTATCAACCTAACCCTAACCTAATAACAAATAGCAAAAATGATTTACACTCAGTGCGGATATTGCATAGAAATGCACTTTATTATCAAAATTGTGTTCGATTTTTCACCCAAATTAAGAATTTTCGGCATTTTTATATATATTTGCAAAACTTTTAGAAGTTCTAGTAGCTCTCTTTCCACTTGCATCAGTACTTATTCGATTTTTTTGACTCTCACTTAAAGAGAGCGCTTTTTCTGATCACTATTGCACTATTTAGATCAGGCATTAACAGAGAGTTTAAATTGAGCTCTTCCTACCGGGTTTGTTTGCTTTTTATACCCTACACCACTTTAGTGGGGAGGGTTGGGTTTATACTGATGTTTGTAACATAGAAAAATACTCCTTAAAGTATACCAATCGGCTTAGAATCGTGTTCTGAATCGATTAAGCCATGTCCGTCCGTCTGGCTGTCTGTCCATGTAAACCTTGTGTGTAAGATAAAGGTCGCCATTTTCAAGATAATTAGAAGAAATTTGTCATAAGTCTATTGAAAATGGTTAAAATCGGTTCATTATTTCATCTAGCCCCCATACAGAACAGAAACCCCGAAAAGGTCTTTTGAGCTCATAATT